TCAAATATTTTTTGTAGACCTGGGTAGAATCGCAATCATATAATACTGTAATTCTGTGAGCACCTCCCCCATTATCTCATATCAATATTAGATCTTATATGTAATATATAACTGTGCCACACACACAGACTACCCACAAGTATTAGATGCTTCCCTGCAGGATTTCCCTGCCTTGGACCCCAGGAGGGAACCCAGCCACAGGCTTTGAACTGTGATTTGTATACAGTACAACAGAAAGCCCCTTTAGACTGACACTAAACCAGTCTAAATCAGTCCAACACTGATTTACGTCACTATTCTCCTCTTTGTCTCTTCTCTCTTCTCCTGCTGGCGATTTCAAATTCATCTTCCTGCCCTCGGTAACTACTGCAAAAGGGTGAAGAAGTTTACTTAGTCACACTGAGTTTAGGGAGATGAGGAAAGTCTGTGATTCTGTGTGTGCGTGTGTGGGCGAAGGTGTGTGTGTTGACTCTCTAATGTTAGTGTGGTGTGCTCGTGTACGTGTGTGTGTGCTTGCGCGTGTGCAAAATGCAGAAATGTACACACACACACACACTCACACACACACACACACACACACACACCCCTGTTTGATCCAGAGCTAGCCCTACAGCTCCCAGAGACTCAACAAAAGGCCTCCTCTATCCATTGTATGAGCTGTGTGTTTCCCAGGAGGGCTCGGGCTCAGTGAGAGAAGGGCCCCAGATCGCTTTCTCCTGACATGGATGTTTATTCGCTCTATGGTCCAGCAGAACACCCTCAAAAGGACTGGCCTTAGCATTTTGACGTGCATGACACATAGTTTTGGAAAAGAGAAGAGGGGATAGAGAGTGTGAGAAAAAAAGAGAGTGAGAGACTGTCTTGACAGACGAACAGACACACAAGACAGACAGATAGAGAAAGGGCCTGTCTATGAAGGTGTTCTCAGTGCACTCATATGAAAAAGAATATTTATGGTGTTCTCTGCCATTTTATTTGCTCCTTGTCTTTACACTAGTCAGCTTTCTTGTCAACCTTGTTCATAAATGTAGATCTACCCGGTGGGTGGGTAGAGATTTCCCCCTGATCTTGACAAGCTCTCCCATCCCTGACTGCATACTAATTTCTCCAGAACTACTGAACCAATGCAAAACAAATACAAATTGCCAAGGCTGCTCTTCATCGTTTGAGAAGCAGGGTCTTAGGAGGTTAGCAGATAGTAGCTGTCTATAATGGGTCTGTGATTAATCAGATTGTCTGCTGTGGACAGAGAAGCTTACAGCGGATGGCTGTTGTAGTTGGCTATACGATATCTTTAGGAATCCGTCAATATGTCTGAGTTTAAAATCCTGAGCTAATGAAGGGAAGTGTAAAAAACGACTCATTCATTCACCAGTCAATTAAAAGTCCATCAAATGCTCAGTGCGATAAATCGGACAATAACTGATTGTGACAATGGCAGGTTTTCGAGTTTCAAAGATTTTTCTATTTCCCTTTATAGGCAATGATCTATCCCCAGCCGCTCTCTCTTCACCAGCTGTTGTTACCTAAGAGTTTTGAACGCTATCTATCAGAGTACTTCACTTTCTCTGGCAATATCTAAACGTTTCCTTGAGATTGAGAGCACCTGCGGGGTTGACCATAGATCTCAGTGGAGCTGCAGAAGCCGACAGTTGAAAACAAACATGGTAGGCTGATACCATCTAATCTGTTGAACACCATTATCGTCTAAGATATCGCTATACTCTCCTCCATACCCACACGCACCCACCCTCCAAACCAGGCTTACTCTCTCCCTGTACACCCTTTGAGGTAAAAGCTTGTGTGTTGAGGCTGAGAGTGAATGTAAGCCATTGTTATGGTGTAACCGGACTCCACAGCAGGTTGTTTGATCCTGTTTTGGGCCTGAAAAGCTTTTTTTTTTTAAAACTTGAACCACCACATCAGCTGAGAGGGTCAGACAACAGACTCTATTTGTAGAGTCCTCTGTCTGTCTGCTTTGTTTTTTTTCTTTCTCCTTTTTCATCCTCACTTTGTCTCTCTTTGTCAGTCTAAATCTCTCATCCAGATTTAGGTTTGAGTCCAAAGCTTTAATTACCATAAAGAGGGGCGTGCAGTCATTCACATACTGTACTTGGATGTGAATGTATGCTTTTAGGCACACTCTGTCGCTCTCAATTTCTCCTTCATTCTCTCTCCCTTTTTCTTTAAACAGGATCTTCTTGTACCACTCTCTCTCTGTACAGACATTGGATTATATTTCTTACTTGCACCTCTGGTATGGCAATAGCAAAAGAGGATGTTACTGGAAAGTGTTGAAATGACAAAAGCATTAGTAAATTGTTCTGTTCACCCACAATACTTCCCGTGATACATCCAAGCTCTTGTTTTGTTCCTGTTTACCCAACATCTTTTCATTATTTACATTACAACATAGAACCATGCCGCCGTATTGTCGAATGTTTTGGGCGCTGACTTGCACTTCTACACCCTTTGTTACTGTTTTGGCATTGTATTCTCAATTTATGATCTGTTTGGCGTTCAGTGTGGACAATGTGCATGCAAATATCCTCGTCCCATTATGCCAACTGTCTTTGTATGTCAGCTCTCTTCCCTAAGAGGTATAGCTGAAGAGTTGGAGGGGGGATGGAATGGCGCTGTATGTTTTTGGAGGAAGATTTGTGCCCGCACACACACACACACACACACACACACACACACATACGCACCCATCTGTGCCCCCAGCCCATTTCAGACGTGAGAAACTGTACCCTCATTTGCATAAGAATAATTGACACTTCAAATTAGCCTTCCAATCAAAGAGGATTCGTTTTTTCAAGCATATGTGCAGGCACTGAGCACTGCCATGCTGGAGAATATGAAAGGGAGGGCAAAAGAGAGCATGGATGGGAGGGGACGCGTCATAAAAGATTAACCCTTTCATTTCCTCGTCTCAGAGTAGAGGATTTGATGTGCCTTTTTATGGGAAATATAACTTGATATACAGTAAAACAGACTTTTGTAGGGGAATAATAAATGATTTCTTCTCTAAATCAAGGGATCCTATGACTGCCTGGTGGGGCAAAATGTTTTTTCTGATTGATAGGTATTTACCTTTGAAGGCTTTTGGTGCACTGACTGTGTTATGTGCACATTTACACATCTATATGCACCTCAGTGGCACTGGGCGCAGGCCAAGACAGCGAGTGCTATTAAGTAGAGTGTACGTGTGTATGTGTGTCAGTGTGGATGTGTCTGCGGATTTAGGGTTTGCCCACATTAAACCATTAAAGAAAGTGCAATGTTGAATTATTGATAATGGCTAATGAAAAGGATCAGTTCGGGATAAACTACAGGCTTAACCATAGCCCTGAGGGCTAACACACACAGACGCACACACAGACACACACACAAAAACACACAGATAGATAGAACATCATTCACGCCCCCCGTTCAACATCTATTTTAGGTTTTCTCAGACTGACTTGACTGACTGACTGGCTCTGTGTATATCTCTCTCTCTTCATTGTTTCATCCATGTTCCAGTTACACTGAAACTCATACCAATTAAGACCAGTAAAGGCCCCAACACAGGGACAAGATATTTGCTATGTGCGTCTATGCCTCCCCAGTTGACAAGCAGAGAGCCTTTTTGAGGCTGAGCTGGTTTTTGGGGAGAATAAGGGACAAGGATTCAGTTTTGGGGGGAAGGGGATAGAGAATGGGGGTTGAGGGTTTGAGGGAGGGGGGGGCTTCGGCGCCAGCCCCTCTGAGGCGCTCAGCATCCCCCCGCTTATAGGATGGCGGATGTGTCTGAGGGTATCCATGACAACACTGCTGCATGCCAGGGACATACCACGGCAACATGGCCTAGTAGAGTTGGTGTCTGTTGTCTGTGTGTGCAGATCCATTAAGGCCCACATATCTTGGTGACATTAATATTCACTCAGTCAGACAGGGAAGCTGCTGCAGCTTCAGTCAGTTTGCTGTTAGACAGGCATGTATCACAGACACCTTCATTTCAGCCCGTGACCCAGAGACTCAACATGAATATGCCCACTGTATACACTCTTGTAAGTGAATATAAGCCAGTGTCTGTGGTTTGACACAGTTGTCAAGAAAAGCACCTTTTCGCTAATGGTTTGGCATGGCACAGTTTTATGCTTGTACTATATATTCTATACTTTCACAGACATAGAGAGGTGTGCCCTCACATCCACTCAGGTCATGAAGCACAGGTCAGGACTCACTTCCTCTCAAACAAACATGCTCACACACTAACACACACTCTCTCACACACACAGACTAACACAGTCACACTCGTAGTTCGTGCACAGATCATGTTATATGTTATAATAATCCCATCTGGGACGGCCTCGATTCTCACTCAGAAAGTAACCACATAATGATGCTCTGATGAGTTCCTGTGTCTGTGTGTGTGGGAGTGTGTCTGTTAAAGAGAGAGAGAGAAAGCGAGAGAGAGAGAGAATTGAAGGTGCTTTATGTGTCATGGGTTATACTGTTTTATATTTTAAACCCATATCCCTGCCCCCACACAAGCACATACGCACACACACATGCACACACTCACACACGCATGTAGAGTCAAACTCAGATCCTATGGGAGTGTATTTTTAACCCCGGCTGCCTGTGCATTTGCTGAGGGGTTAAAGGCCTGAATCGTGAATCAAGTAAATAATTCACAATAGCTGAAACTCTTTCGATGTAACCTCAGAATGAATGGGGGAGGGAGACAAAAGAGATTTAGTTACGTAGAGGCACACAATAGTACTGTCCAATCCTACTTATTGTTTTGACTTTACTGTACAAAGCAAAGATAAACAAGTAGGTCAATAAGCAATAGCCAATAACTCCCATTGGTCTCCCATTATATCATAAAGTCTGATTCCATGCAGCATCTGTAAAATGTGTACAGTGATATGTACCTTGCATGTTTATCTACTGTATATGTGCTATGTACATCTACAGCACTAAACAATATGCCTGTCTTGTGTTTTTAGGTTGAATGGAAACCTTGCAGATCATGACCCAGAAACAAATGGCATAATGACTGGAGTCTCCGCGCTAAAGACGTCAAGGATATTCAGCTGATCTCAGAGGTGACTGCGCTCTCTCCTTTCAAGCATTACCGTTTCTGCCCTCTTGTTATATGGGCTATATTTTACGAATTCCCTGCTATGGATCAGCAGTCTCTGCATCCTTTTTCTCAGAGAATTCTATATCAAAGTGTCTGTAAGACATTTTGAGTGACATTGCTTCTGTCAAACGGCTGATTGAAGGAGACACAGAGAGAAATGCTGTGCTAATGAAATTGTCTGACCCACATCCTTTAGTGCTATCCATTTCTCCAAAGACACAGAAAGGGCATTTATACAGGTAAACCATGACTGGTCCCTGAAGTGAAAGAGGAGTTTTTCAGAAGGAAGAGGAGCATCCATTATTTACTATACTGGGGTTGCTAGACACTTAGGAAATAATGCAGTGCTTCAAGCATACAAAACATAGAGCCTCCTCGGTGCTGGGGAGGCCATTGTTGTGTGTTTTGAACATGTCTGTTTCCATCCATACTGACAGATGAAAAAGAATATGTCTCCCTAAGGTTCAGAAGCATGGACACAGATAGAAGAGAAAGAAGGAGAGGGAGAGAATGGGATGGTGGAGAGATGTGTTTGTGTGTGTGTCAGTCATATCTTTGTGCATGTTTGGTATTCATGTCTGTGCATTTGTGCACATGTGTGTCTGTTTATTTCCCCCATGTCTGTTTTTTTGGCATCTGTATGTACAGTAGTATGTGTCCAAACATGCCCCAGTCCTAGATTATTTAATGTAAATGAGTCTTACACCTAGCGCAAGCAGTCCTTGTGTGCATGCATGTGTGTGTACGCATCACTCTTGAACTGTATAAGTAGTCTCTTCCAGCTCTGATAGGCTTCAGTCGAGTCTTATTCTCTGCAGATCAGCAGCAGCATCATTTGCCTCCTCATGGAGAGCGGAGGCATCTGACTTCAGTCTAGTGGGAGTAGTTAGCAGAAGGAGAGCAAGGCATACAACTCCTCCACCCTGTTATCAGACTTGGGGTAACACCAGGCATTACTTTCTGCCTTTGTCAATTTCCTGAGGGACACTTTGACATGAAATCCTTTTTGTGGATGAGGAGAGACCACTCCTTAAAAATGTTTGTATTTTTCCGCATAAATGCGTATTGTGAAGGAGAGCATGATAACTAACCATGTTTATGGTTCCGGTCTGGGAAAATCTGGGTCTACTTACATTGAAGAATCCTCAAAATTACAGTGACAATAGAATTATATATTTTATTTAGATATGTTATGTAGTGAGTTTTAAGATGTGTGGGAAAAAATGGATATTGTTCCTAGTGGCTAAGACAGCATCATGTATCTTAAACAGATTCATTAAGGCCCCAAGACAATGACATTTCTAGACACAGAATGTGTGGAGCAATCCAAAAATTGATGATCAGACAGTTTTAACCACCAAAACCACCAGCAATAGATTCAGATTCAATCTGTCAATCTGGCTATTATAGTAAATTTATAGTAATGTTTTGCCAGTAATGTATAGTAATTTCAATTCTTAATACTGTTAGAGGTATGGATCCCTCAGAAGAAACTTGATAAAACTGTAAACAGATATGTTGCAGTGCCATGTAGGTCTACTGTAAAGCTCTATCTAGAGCTGTCTCAAAGTGACTACAATGAATGTAATTACTGAAATGTTAGCATAACTGATAGGATGAAGGCCAAAACTACTTGAAACTTGAGACTTTAATTTGAAAGCCTTTATCTATTTTGAGAAGATGGCCGACAAATCATTTAAACTCCTTTAAATACTCTATATAAGTCAGAAGTATGTCAGTATGTTACATTACAGGGCACACCACAGTGATGTTTACATGTACACAGTGTGCGGGTTGGAGGGTAGGAAAGTAATTTTCCCTATGGAGATTGATATACTGCCAGAAATTCCACTCACTTAAAAGTTGATCATCCCCTGATCCTCTATTACAGTTTATCTTACCAAGGTGTAATCGATCTGTTCAGTTGACTCAGTAATTGTCAAATGCTTTGTTTGATGTAACCAAAATATCAGAGATACTGAGAACCATCAGCAAAGCCCTGGACCCATTCGCATACACACACACACACATACTGCGGACATCATCCTTGTATATAGGCGCTAAACTGCAGTGTCAGCAGAGAAGATGAGGAGGATGCAGAGAGAGGCACATGTAGCTTTGACTAAGATCAGCTGATAGACAGGCCAGCCAGGCAGGCAGTGTGTGCCCTTGAGGTGCTGTGAGCAGGCAGAGTTGTGTATCTTGAGTTGTCTGAATCCACCTCCCTTCATCTTTTGGAGTTGGGTTGAGTTTGGCTGTTGATGGCCCAGGGACCCCCTGCCAACCCTGAACTGTTCTGTACTGTCAAGCAAACATCAGAGAAATTTGTTGAAGGAGACAGCCTGGCCAAAACAGTACTTTTGTACATTCTGGATTCCTGGAAAAAAACAGAGGGGAGTTGCTGACTTACAGCAACTTGCAAGGGACGCATCCACTTTCAAGAGATTTTAAGTGTCTGACAAGATAAATCAGCAAATACATTTAGAGTAAACCTTTAGGAACCACCTCTGTTGAAGTCATGGGATCCTAAAATGACGTATTGAACTGCCTTTGTAGTCTGATGCAGACAATGACACTATACATTGAAGGTTTCACTGAGCCAGTCAGGCTTCCTACTGTCTCAAATGACCCCAGCTGTTCTGTATGGCCTATACATTCATATTGGGTCCCAGAATACCTCCCATGCTTGTCAACAAGCTCTATAGTTTCGGGGAAATGTAATACCATAATGTCTTTCTGGAGGAAGGGAGTGTCAGGTATGGCCAAAGTAATGGAGGAAAGGCTGGAGGTGCAGGTAACACAGGTTAGGTTTGGTGTAAAGGGGATCCGATAAGGCGTTCCCCAGACCCTGCAGTCTCCCAGTCTCCTCTATGAGAGAATAATAAGCAGCTGTAACCCTGAGACACTCCCAGGCCTGTGTCCTCAGCTACAAAAACCTTCACCGGGCGTCTTATCAGGTTCTAAGGATATCACGTAAGACAATACATGTGAGAAGTGCAGAGGGAACAATAGGAGGAAAGTGCAGTGTGATATGAGGGGGACTAATGTCAGCGGCTATTGTTGAGGCTTTTGTCACTGTCAAGTACACCGGGAACTCACAGCTCACTGAACTTCTTTCATTCAATTATCTCGCTTTGGAATGTGTACAACAAGACTGTCCCTCATGCGTTAGCAATGGCAAACTGTAAACACAGAAGTTATGTGTTTGTTGCAGGTAAACTGTAACTAACAGGTTGCCGTAAGATCCCCAATGGCTGGAATTGAAGATTTAGTCTCAGTATTAAACTACAATTTCTAATAGGACATTTGCTGTTGAAAGTGTTGAGTTATACAGGATGTGGTGAAAATTCACTCAAACGTTTTTTCATAAAGCTTTAATTAAATAATATGTAACAGAAGGCAAATTGTCTTTGAAATGTTCTAATCATTTTCATATTTCTCTTTTTCAGGTAAATGAATTTTCCCAATCAACTAGAGAGGAGCCCAAATCTCATTAAGACAGGAGCTTCAAGATGTCCACAACTCTCTGAGCTTCACATTACTCTCTACGACACTTGGACCTGTTCTGTACTCTTTATTTCTGTCACCTGGTTATATATATAAGATTGTAAACTGACACATACTTTGACCTTGCACTAATATAGCAATTTATTTATTTATTTATTTTTATTACATGAGAGAATACTATCGGAGACATTAAACCTATATTCTATGTATTTGATTGAGTCTAACAAGTATATTTTTTGACATCTAAATAAAGGTTTTTTCTTCCTTTAAGTGATGTTTCAGTAGAGTTATTTCCTCCTTCCCGTGTAGTGCTCTGGCACTCCAGGTAAAGATCAATGTGCTTGACATAATTGGGTCCTATTTGGTTATGAAAAGAGCATGCGTGCTGATAAAAGCTGGCACGGTGATCAAAGCACTGTGCGTCCTGATCAAAATCATACACCTGACACAGTTGTAGTTAATCCAGACAGACTTACGAAATGTGGGGAAACAGATTTCAGACGGTACCAAGAAGCCTCCCTGTTTAAAATCAGCTCCATACCACATTGTGCTGTCAAATCAAATGTATTTGTATGTGCAAAATATGAAACAACAATTAAAAATAAGAATGATTTTATGCTTCTTTTCTACACCTACCTTTGTTGCCTTTTTCTCTCCAGGCTGCATGTCAGCTTTAAAGAAAAATAGAACAATCTGACTTTTGTCTCCCTGTCAAAGTTTCTCCAAAATTCCATTCACACTACAACAAGAAGGCTCAAAAGTAGGATCCATGAAATCTTTGACAAATTGTTTCTTATGGGAAAGAAGTCTAATTTTTCTCCCTTTTCTATCTTTCATTACTCCCCATTCATCTTTATGTGCCTTTCCATTTTCCCTTCTCCTTCCTAATCATATTAATTCTCTCTTTCCCTCCCTACTTAACATCCACTCCCACTATTTTTCTCACGCTTACCCCATCTTCATTTCCTTTACCAGCATCACTCTTCCCCTCTTCCCTACAACCGTCTTTCAGTCCTGTCTATCCCCCCTCGTCTTCCCCGCCCTCACCCATTCTCTTGCTACCATTCTCTATCTCTCTCTCCCTCTCTCTCCCTTGTCTTTCTCCCCCTCTCAGATGTCAGATCACAGTCTAGTCTTCCGCTTGCCCTGTCATCACATTTTTCACACAACCCCATCCCTTAATTGGGCCTGTATCATCATATCATATCATGTAGAATATCTGATCACAGCAAGAGATGAAAGATGGCCTCCACCTATCCCCTCTCAGACAGACAGACAGACATATACTGTAGATGCACACAAACACACACATCATCGCTCACACCAACACACACGTCACTGGTCGTATGGGACAGGAATCCAAGCTGATGGCTGTGTCTGTGTACATTTTTACACCTCATGTTTGCGGCAAGTTGTCGATGTGATTGTTACAGCATGACAGGTGAGATGGTGTATATTCCACGAGTGTCCAATGATGTTTGTATCAACCACTAGTGGCTTTTGTGATGAGACAAAGGATGCCCTGGAGCCAGCAATGTCACATCTACAGGTAACTAGCAAAATAAAGGAAACATCAACAAAAAGTGTCCCGGGAGTGCTAAAATAGCTCCAAACATGGCTTGATATCAACTTGAAGGATGCAACGCAAACAAATTTTGTGCAAGATACCCAGTAATTCCTGCTGCTCCTATTTTTAACTTCAAAATATACTGTAACAATTAACCATATAATAAAATAAACTCCCATGGGGTTATGGTTTATATTGTGTTCATATTCTCCAATGGTTACTTCCATCCAGATAGATAAAAGTGGCAATAAAAAAACACAAAGCCATGCTTAGTGTAGTATAAAATGTAATGTAAATTGACAAGCATATGGTGTCAGTATTTACTTCAGGTCTCTCAGGACGGCCACACGGCTGCATAATCTTAATATCTTTCTTCTTAAAGGACTAGTGTGTATGTTTTAGTGGCATGTAGTGGCAAATTGCAATCATTTAATTAAAGCTCAGCCTTCCAAGCTGCAAAACTATCAAAAAACACAAAGGGCCCTATCTATAGCCAGTGTTCGGTTTGTCCGTTCTGGGCTACTGTAGAAACATGGCGGCTTCCGTAAAAGAGGACCCGCTCCCTCACAACACAACAAACTTCCTTCATTTCTTTCCCCCCCCTAGGCGGTGATCATCATACTAATGGCACCGTCATATTATCTATTATTCCATTTCTGCCAATAGATCCTCCTAAATGTTGCACCCGGGACCTTAATAAATCAAATTTCTGTTGTTGCTGACAAAGTTGCAAGTTTCTATCATATTACAGGAAATCTTAATGATCATGGTCATGAAATGTGTACGAAGGGGCAAATATTTGCACTACGTACTTGAATGCAGACATTATTATTAAAGCACATCCAGAAACAGTATACATATACATTGGTTCTTGTCCCACATTTGGAGGTTTGGCCTGAGTCACACAAAACAGGCGTATTTTAGCTACAGAAATGCGTCAGCATAATGAAGGTCACACAGTTTATATAAGACAGAGTTGTGAGCAATATAGCCAGAAAGTGATTGGTTAATTTGAATACCTTTTGGAGGACTAAAGCCATAATATTATCCACTATGTAACCTCTTAGATCTTGCAAGCCCTTGAGGGGGAAGCCACAGATTGGGAACCACTAGTATATAGTGGATTCTGATATAATTTCCCATGGTTTATCCCATTGTTGGAATCTTGTTTAAACAGCGAAACCTAAAGCTTGCACACAGATGTTAATGAAAAATCAACCACAAACTTAACTACCAAAATACATACACATGTGTCACTATGTGGGTCAGAAGTCTTGAAAAAGGTCAAACATCAAAAGAGAATCAGGATGATATTTGTGAAAGTGCAGTTTTGTTTAGTAATGATTCAATTTTTTATTTTATTTTGAAAGCAGAATGTCGTGGTCTGTATGTTATTTCTATCTAAATGTGATTTACATCATTAAAAGGCTGCATGGAGGCCTGCTGTGAATAAACCTTTTTTTCTCAAGTGCTTGAAATCTTCTTTTACTCATATCCACAGGAGTGAACTGGTCACATGGTGAGCTAACAATCGTTCAATAAAAGCACAGTACACCATTGCAAAGCCATTGTTTTCAGTGTGTCTCTTATTTTCCCTATGTACTATGCTACTCCCATGCTACAACCTTGTGCAACGTGCAACAACATGCTAGTTATCACAACGTTTGAATAGTGACACATTATTACAATATAATATTATAAAAATTTTAGACCAAGCTTAGATTATTTTTAATTAATTTAATTATTGTAATTCATTTACTTGAGGTTTTATAAGCAACAATACATTTTTAAGATCACTTTGTTTAATTCTTAATCGGGCCACAAAAGAAGTTCATGCTCCGGACATGACAAGAATACTACGGTAATATGTTTTAATGATAATTCTATCATATAATTCTAGCATGGGAATACATTTCTTATTTAGATGTTCACTAGCTAGAAAATATGCAAAACCATTCATAGGGTGTTACATATACTGTAGCACATAATTTTATATCTTGACGAATACTTTAAACTATAACGTGGCTTTATCCGTGAAAGAAAATGTTCACCACAGATCATATTGTATTACACTGGATCGTGGATGAATGTGAAGAAAAATCCAATAGAGACAGATTCAAACATGTGAAGACATGGATCACAGTTTAAATAGGTCTTCCTGGAATCATAATGCAGCTGTCTACATCTTTCAGTACAATTGAATTGAGCCAAGAGCATTTGGGAACCACAAAGATCTCAGATGGCACTTACTTAAGATTGATCTCCTAAAGGCACTAAAAAATAAATGCAAGAATTCTACTATTGATGCAGAGCTTTGAAAAAAAAATGTCTTTTTTATATTAAGGTGTTTTTTTTTTGGCCCGGGAACATGACCTTGGTAGCTGCTGGCGAGGAAAAGTAAAGAATAAAACTTCTAAACTCCATTATGTGATAGAACTTTTTTGCTCCTTTCTTTGTCTCCCTCCTCTTTTTTCCACTAGACGGCACAGTATTTCACTTTTATCTACAGATAGCAGGACTTTGTGTTATCTTATTTTGTTTGGGAGAAGATTCACAAGTACTATCCGCCCCATGATCCCAACAGACGACAAGATACAGAACTCCAAGTCTGGAAACTTCACAGTGAGAAAAATGAGGTCTTACTGAAACTACCTTTGGTGTGTGTTTAACTCTCTGGTTATTCCCTTGGAAGATTTGGAAACCAAAGAGCTGCTGGCTGCACAGTGTTACAGTATTATAAAATACAATAGAAAGATGTGTGTACATTTTAAGAAGTATATTGTTTAAGATCACAACTGAAATCTGGTGCAAGAAACTGAAGTTTGATTAGAGTATTCAAGGTTGGTGCGGCTTTAAAGGACTTTACTGGAAAGTTTTCAAATAAAAATCTAGTCACAAATTAATTGATCAACTTTTCAGTCCTTATCTTGTGCACCAACCAAAATAAGTACAATATTCTGTGGATCAGTGGTTCCCCACTTTATTTTTGTCTGATGTACCTCCACAGCTCATACAGTCAGATACAGCCATCATATTCCAAAAATGCTCATTTGAATAGATTTAAAACTGAATGTGATTTAACAATGTTAACTATGTAAAAGTGGATATTGTTAAAATATCTTTTTCATACAATTGAACTTGTGTTTAAGTCAGTTTGGTCAAATTTGCATTCGGCCTACTTGGAGTGAAAGAGGCTAAAAGTTCCAACCATTTATCCATCACTATCTGTTTTATTCATTAGGAGTGTTAAAGTGTGTGTATAGACACTGAAAGGTTTGGTAATACCGGTGCAGGATGTTTGATGCAACTTTCTTGGTTAGGTACACCCTGTGACTTTCTAATTCGTCGAATTGTAGAGCAAAACAGAAATTCTAGAAAGCAAGTTTTGCCCGGAAAGTTTTGGCAGCACACCAGTTGTTGTCTATCAGCTTTAGCATGCTAGTCGGCTTAGTCATGTTCAGAGGGCAGCGATTATTGTCAAATGCTGACATCGTTCAACTGAAACCGGGTATGTCTGTGGAAAGACTTCAAACATGTAATTTACATCACCTGAATGCGATGATTAGTAGAAAGAGACAAAAAGCGATTGGCAGCCTTTCACTGCAGATACGCAACGTGCCAAAGTAACTATAGAGTGTTAATTGCTGTGGATATGCATACTCCAT